CAACAAATCCTTGGAGAAGTAAGTTATCTAATTGTAGCCCATTTTGTTTGTGACTGGAGCAATTCTGATATAGAAGATGCAATACATATTCTAAGAGGTTGTTATTTTGCAAGGGACATTTGAGCAGCTAGTTCATAGAAGGTTTCACACTCTATTCTTTAATGCTTCTCTTCCTGTCTGGGTTAGTTTGAATCTCAGAAAAATCTCAAGTGTTGATGGGAAGTCTGATTTGGAGCCTTATTTGTGCTGTCAATGTTTGGAAGTTATGGCTGTGGAGAAATGAGTATATTTTTTAATCCCCTTTTGTTTAGTTTGATTATGCATGGGCTGGCCCCTCATATGTATTATTCAAAAAAAAAAAAAAAAAAAAACAAACAAACACAACCCCGCCTAATTCATGCATTTAGGACCAAAGAATATTTAGGATCGGATACATTGCTCTCGTATAAAAATATAATAGATATGAAGAATTAACAGGTCAAACTCTCATATTTACAAGTTGAGTTATGTTATTTATTACAAACTACACTCACAAATATTAAATCTTTTGCGACCTATTAATATCAATGAATTTTTTCGGAATTAACCTGTATATGTAATTTTTCCTGCCTAGGATCTATGGATAATATAATGTTCCCTAAAAATTATATAATGATTGTTTTAATTTGAAGCCAAATACTTCAGATAGCTTATCAAAATGGGTACTCTACTTCACAAGTTTATATTTATAAACAAACTTATAAATTATCGGCCATTCAAGATGTTTGATTTACAAATTTTCATAGTTTCACTGTGATTTCCTTTGGCACAACAACATCGACTCCTTATATAGAATAATTATGAAAGGAATAACTGTAAAGTATTAACTATCGATTGTATCATGTGAGTCACAGAAACACAATTTTTCTTTTTCTTTGGGTCCTATGTGTTCTCTCGCTTTTTTTTTTCAATTAATATTAATTACAAAATGGAGGACAAATCAACTATCCAAAAAGATATTAAGAAAGTCATTTACAAGCGGTCCGAGTTGGGGGTAGCTTTCTCGCCCATCGACATAATCATTATTGTATCTTTAATCTCTACTTCAAAGTCTTTGATCATATTTCAATTTAATTATGGCAACACTTAGGATACAGGGGAAAAAATTCTTAAAATTGCAGAGACCAAAGGTATATAATACCATGAAAGAAGGAAAAACATTACCCCGGTCCAAAAAAAAAATAAAAAAAGATTGTGATCATCATCAAATAAAAATATTTAAAAAATTTAAAAAAATTTAAGGGTTAATAGCGTCCGGAAATGATTTAAACGGTAAACTTATATTTAATATATTTTAAATCTCAGCAATCAAATTTGAGACAATCTAAACCCCACAATTTATTTGAAGTTCACGCGGTTAATGCTTTCAGCCTCTCTCTCCCTCTCCCTCTCTCTGCCCGATTCCTCCCTCCTCTCTCTCTCTCGCTCGTAGAAACTCATGGCGGTGAGGACGCTGATGCAGCCTGAGATTGCCGCTCAAGATGCGTACTATGGAGTCTCGCAAGGGCAGTGAGGACGCTGAGAAACCTAAACACGAAGTGATTGATGCGAGTCCAGAAGATAAGAAACAAACTGAGAGTAACAGAGGAACCTTGATGCCGAGGTAAATTATATATCTTGGATTAGCTTCAATCAATGATGGCAAGGTCAATAGTGATGAGTATTCGGTTTCTTTATCCGTAAGGAGAAGCAATGGCAGATCAAGATTCAGGTTGGAAGTGGAATGCAGCACCAAAGATTGGATCGGGTATGAAGGAATTGAACAAAGATGCTGAACTGAAATTGATGAAGCTGAGAGCATTGTTGTTAAACTCTTGAGTTGACTCTGAGTTTATCATTTTTACATTTTTAACTTATAAAATCATGTTAATTTATTTATAAACTTAAATTAGATGAAATTCAGTTACATTTAGGAGTTGACTTTATGAGTTTATTATTTTTACGCTTCTAAGTTATAAAATCGTGTCAATCTATTCATAAATTTGTTAAACAAAATAGGCATGTATTATGTGAAACTTGATTCATAGGAACGATAAGATTCGATTCAATAAAAAATAAAACCAAAAAAATACAAAAAGAAAACAAAAAATGCCAAAAATAAATTGCCCTATTTTGAAATTTCTATGCTAAGTATGATAATCTATGAATGTAGATAGATTTAATTTCAATAATTTATATTTGAAATATATTTAAATTAAATTATAGTCATATTTTATATTTTAATTATTTAATTATATACTTTTAAAGGCTATTTATTAATAGAAGTAACTTTTATCAGTTTATAATTCGAGTTTACACCTTTATAATGAGTTTATTTAAATTCGCGAGTTTAACAACCTTGGTTGAGAGGATTCAAAAGTATAGTCCTCAGAAAAGATGATCAAGTGGAAAACCACTATGAGAAGGACAAGAGTTTTTGTTAGAGCTTGATTAGAAGCCCCTGCCGTGCTGTGATGTCTGTTAGTAATCGAGAGAGAGAAATTGCAGATGTCCATGCTAGCTACATGTGAGACCCGGGGGAGGGGGGGGGAGTTTAGGGGAGAGAGTGGGGAGAGATAGAGAGAAGAATCGTGCAGAGAAAGAGGCTTAAAGCAAGATGGCGCTCATCACATGAGGAGCAATCTGGACCATCTAAAGATTTATATATTTTATTTTATATTTATTAAAATAAAAATTATAAATTTTAATAAATATAACCTATTACTAATTTGGATAATACTTATTTAATATGGATGTTCTCATTTAATAGTAATTTTTTTTATAATTTTTATAAATTGACTATCTAGATATTTTCCGAACAGTTTGGATAATATTAAACTATTTTAGAAATTTTAGAAATTTTTATTTTAGTAAATATAATATTATATAATAAAAATAATGATAATCTTCAAAGTGAAACTTAAAAAAAATATAATTTAAAAATTTTGAATCTAGACTTTTCAAAGTACATTTGAATAGTTAATTTATAGAAATTATAAAAATATTTAATATTAAATTTATCATCTAGATTAAAATTTTATTGTTCAGATTAATGATAGAGTAGATTTATTAAAACTTATAATTTTTATTTTAATAAATAGAAAATAAAATATATAAATCTAAACCGTTCAGATTTTTCAAATTGCTCATCATGTAATGATGGTGATCATCACATGATGAGCGCTAAAACCAATCTCAACTTAAAGCATTAGCTGAGATAACTTGAAACAAACTTGGGTTAGAATTTGCTAGATTCAATTATTTAGGATTTAAAATATATTAAATATGATTCAAAATGCTCCTAGGTCTATAGTTTAGGGTTTACATTGCTATTTAATCCTAAATTCAAAGATAAAGACTGCATGTATACTTCCTCTATTAAAAAATGTAAAATATTTTTAACTAAATTTTATTTCTAAATAAAGTAATTATTTATTTTCAAACTAACCCTATATTTTCATATTTATTTTTATTTAATAAGGTGTTTCACAAGCATAGCCTCTTCCCTTCTCGTCTCTTCTTTTCTTCTCCTTATCTCATCATTTCTACCATTAGATAAGGAATGAAGGGTTGGAATTTAATTTTTTCATGAAATAATTATCATAATATTACATTGAAAAATAAATAAATAATTTTAACTTTTAAAATTTGATCTACACAATTTATAATTAGAATAAAATAAATAAATAAAATTTAATTTATAAATTTTTTAATAATAATATATAATTGTGAACTGTACGTGTGCGTGTAGGTCAAATTTTACTAGTTTAAATTTATTATTTATTTTTTATGATATTATGATAATTAATTTATAGAATACAGTTAAATTTGAATCATGCATTTAGTTATTTAAAGATGGAGGCATCTCCATCTTGATCGACTAGAAAGGAGAGAATCCGGATCCTATAATAATTGCACTATTACTCCCCCTTACGCATGGCTTCTCAGCTTGTTCAGTCTTCATTTTTAACAATGTCAACTTGCACATTGGCTCCAGGCTCATATAACTAATTATATTAGTACATCTATGTGTTTGCACGCTTCTTTTATTTACAACTTGCAGGCCACATGATTTTTTAATTTATAGGTCTTATCAAGTATTGCTTATAAATAATGTATTTATTATAAATTTTATCATATATGTATAATAAATATCATCATATCATATCATATATAATATAAAATCCATCAAGTAAACCGTCGTATTGAATCATGATTTATGAATGAGGTCATTTATATTTTACACTCAATATAAGCTACGACCCCATAATTTGGTTATAATGAATATAACATTCGAATTATAAATTATTTTTATATTTGAAAATGATGTTTTAATAATTAATTGAAGCCTTTTTATATTAAAATAAAGTAAAATAATTTAAAAAATGAAAGGTAACTCCATTTATTAAAAAAAAAGAATGAAGTTAATTATGGATTTGGATATAGTGAGTGATCTGAATCTATTCATACAATAAATGTCTCAATTATAGTTATTAAATTTTATCATTATAAATTTTCCTTCAAAAATTCAAAGCAAATCACAATTAAAATACTCCTCACATCTGTTGTCTCTCAAAAAGTTGAGATTCGATGCTTACTAATATTATGTAATAAAATCTCCAACAGCAGTTCGGTTAAATCAGTGGGTTATTATCAAGCCATGGGAGGCACTTAATAAGTGAATTTATGCTACTAGGGTATCTCCACATGATCACGTCCTTATTCTCCATTTGTTTTATATATCTTCTTTTCTTAAGAATCCTCCTTTATCCCTTATTTTATTTTATTTAAAAAGTAAAAAACTCAGTTGAACGGAAACCAGCAGGAAACTATTAAGGGAATGCAAGAACTGTACACTGCTTTGAATAGATCTTTTTAAAAAAGTGAGATATTTTATATTTGATTTTTAAAAAAAAATTTATAGCCGTACGGAAATAAAAGGAAGCGTGTTCTTCTCTGTAATTCTCATCCCTCACGTACAGCTTTGGCCATAGCCCTATCTCCAACATGACGATACAATCTTCAATCGCCGTTTCCTTCCTCTTATGCATCTTCTTCCAAGTCCTTTTATCTACAGGCGTCACCGCCTACAGTCCTGTCGATGACTTCGCCGTCACTTGCGGTTCCTCTGGCAAGTATTCTGATACAATAAATAATCGGACTTGGACCGGAGACATAAGCTCTCAGTTATTCTCTCTCACTGAAACCCTCAACAACAACCACTCCCTCACCGCCGACTCAACAGACAGCCAGAAACTCCCCTATCGCACTGTTCGCCTCTCTCGCTCAGAATTTTCCTACTCATTTCCGGTGACCGCTGGCCAGAAGTTTGTTCGCCTCCACTTTTACCCATCTTCTTACCTCGACTTCCATCGTTCCGACTCTCTCTTCACCGTCCAAGCCGCAAACTACACCCTTCTTAAGGACTTCAACGCTTCACTTAACGCCGATTATGCCGCCGTCGAAACCATTGTACGGGAATACTGCATCAACGTCGACCCAGGACAGAGGCTAAACGTGACGTTCACGCCCAACTCATCTCATCCGAATGCCTATGCTTTCGTCAACGGGATCGAGGTTGTCTCGATGCCGACCTATCTTTATTACACCAAACCTGACGACCTACAAACGATGAAGCTAGATGACAGCACCAAGCAGTTTCCGATCGAAAACAGCAGTGCTCTTGAGACTGTGTACAGAATCAACGTTGGCGGAAGCCAGATACCAACCGAACAAGACACCGGCATGTTCCGGCGTTGGTACGACGATGTTCAGTACTTGGAGATACTGCGTTCACATAGTGTGTCAGCAGGCTTTGGTTTAAAGCCAATCTACAAGGATGATCAAAATTATTTTGCACCTGATGATGTATATATGACTGCTCGAAACTACGGCATGAACCAAACGTCGGAATACAATGTTACATGGCATTTCGAGGTCGACTCAGAGTTCATTTATATGGTGAGATTGCATTTTTGTGAGTTTGATGACAAGATTGAAAGTCTTGGAGGGAGAGTTTTTCAGATCTTTATAGCTGATAAGTTGGTGGAGCGTGTTGCTGATGTGTTCCAGTGGAGTGGGAGCCTGAAGGTTCCTGTACATAAGGACTACGCGGTGTCGATGTGGAACATAGGAATCTCGAAGAAGCTGAATCTTTCAATCAAGTTGCAGCCAAACCCGACAGCAAGGAGCATTTACAGAGATGTCTTACTGAACGGTATTGAAATTCTGAAAATAAGTGATCCAGCCAGTGGCAATCTTGGAGGTCCCAATCCTGATCCACGTCCGTCTCCCTCAATACCAAACATACCATCACCCACCAAATCATCAAATAAAACAAGTGTAATTCCCATTATCGTTGGGGTAGCGTCAGGCATCGTTGTGCTATCTCTTATTGTTTTGTTGATTATCTGGCGACTGAAGACTAGAGTTCTGGTCAACGAAAGTAATTCGTTGTGGGGACAGAGATCAGTACAATCGTCCGAAACAAACAAATCACAAGGGTCATCGTTGCCGTCCGATTTATGTCGCTGCTTTTCAATAGTTGAGATAAGAGCAGCAACCAATAACTTCGATGATATTTTCATAGTGGGCGTCGGAGGGTTTGGTAATGTCTATAAAGGCTACATTGATAATGGTACAGTTCCTGTGGCAATCAAACGGCTCAAGCAAGGTTCACAACAAGGGCTCCGTGAGTTCCAAACTGAGATTGAAATGCTCTCTCAGCTTCGTCACAATCATTTAGTGTCTCTCATTGGTTACTGCAATGATGGCAACGAGATGATCCTCGTCTACGAGTTCATGGCTCGCGGGACCCTCCGTGACCATCTTTACAATTCTGACAATCATCCACTTTCCTGGAAACAAAGGTTGGAGATGTGCCTTGGTGCGGCGCGTGGACTGCATTACCTTCATACTGGTGCAAACCACACTGTCATTCATCGTGATGTGAAGACCACAAATATCTTGATAGATGAGAAATGGGTGGCTAAGGTTTCGGATTTTGGATTATCCAAAATAGGACCCACAGGAATGTCCAAGTCTCACATTAGCACAGTGGTAAAAGGAAGTGTTGGTTACTTGGATCCAGAATACTATAAGCGTCAAAGGTTAACTGAGAAATCTGACGTTTACTCCTTTGGAGTTGTACTGCTCGAAGTACTTTGTGGGAGGCCTCCTTTGCTACGTAACGTGGAGAAGAAGAAAACAAGTCTAGTGGTGTGGGTTCGAAAATGCCATCGTGACGATGTGATTCATCAAACTGTTGACCCTTTCCTGACAGAACGTATCAAATCAGAGTCCTTAAAAGCATTCAGTGACTTGGCACTAAAATGTTTGGTCGATAATGGGAATGAACGACCTTCGATGAACGACGTCGTGTGGGGCCTAGAGTTTGCGTTGCAGCTACAAGAATGCACAGAGGAATTAGTGGGGCTTGAAGGAAAAGGCGAGGAAAGGGCTCTGTTGGGAAAAGTGGCAAACGTGAAAGACAGTTTAGTAGTTTTCACGAGCAGTGATGAATCAAAAGGCAGCAGGTTGACTACTTCAAGCAGTGAAAATCAGTCTTTAATTTCTAAGTCAATCTTCTCCGAGTTGGTTCACCCGACGGGTCGATGAAGAGCAGTCCACTATTATATTATGGACCATTGCTGTGCTGTGTGTGAATGTGATGGATTTTCTTATTTCGTTCATTTCCATATCTAATGACGTTGTATGATTGTAAGTCCGTTGCACATTTCAATTGTTCTGTTCTTTCGATTGCTCACAACTATTTCTGTCTGTAAAAACTAGTGGTGCACGGGGTTTCAAATAATAAATTTATTTTTAGAAGTCACAATTCAGATATTATTTTTTATTTTGCATTTATTAAAATAAAAAATTATTAAAAATATAATATTTGGAACAGAAACCGAATGAACAACAAGCAATTCTTATTCTCCGAAGTCTGCTCTTTCACAAGTCTCAAGGTCCTATTTATAGTCCTAGAATACGTGAAACTGAACCATACAAATTTAAAGGGGAGTTACAGAACTTAAGGGGCGGTTACAAAGAGTTTATGATGTTCATTATGTGTGCCTTCCGTTTTAGCTCGTTTCTTGCTCTTTCTGTTTCATTTTGCTCTTTCCGTTTCATCCTCCTTGGGTTGGGAAGAACTCGCCCTCGAGTCAAATTCATCATCTTCATCAACGTATGGAGATAAATCAGCGACATTGAAGGTTGCAGATACACCATAAGAACTAGGTAATTCCACCTTGTAAGCATTGTTGTTGATCCTTTGCACTATCTTGAACGGACCATCAGCTCTTGGAGACAACTTGGTGTTTGGCTGTTTAGGAAATCGTTCCTTTCGTAGATGTATCCAAACCAAATCTCCTACCTTAAAAGTCTGCTGTCTTCGATGCTTGTCACGTTGATTTTTGTATCTCAAATTCTGCTTTTGGATTCGCTCGCGGACTTACTCATGCAACTTCTTAATTTCCTTAGCCCTTTGGTCAGCATCAAAGTTGTATTGTTGCTTATCAATTGAAGGGCTCAAGTCTAGTGGACTAAGGGGACGAGTGCCATAAACAACTTCAAACGGACACTTCCCAGTTGCTTGATTGACAGAGTTATTATAAGCAAACTCAACTTGAGCAAGAATAAGATCCCACTGCTTCAAATTCTTCCCCATGAAACTGCAAAGAAGATTATCAAGAATTCTATTTATAGCTTCAGTTTGACCATCTGTCTGGGGATGACTAGCGCTGCTAAATTGGAGCTTAGTTCCCATCTTCTTCCATAGTATCCGCCAAAAGTGGCTAAGAAACTTCACATCACGGTCAGAAGTGATAGTTTTAGGAACGCCATGAAGACGCACAATCTCCTTAAAGTACAAGTCTGCTACTTGAATAGCATCATTTGTCTTCTGGCATGGGATAAAATGGGCCATTTTTGAGAAACAATCCACAACTACCATGATAGAATCTTTTTGCCTTTGAGTCCGTGGTAAACCTAGAATAAAATCCATGGTTACATCTTCCCACGGTGCTTCTGGAATTGGCAGAGGCATGTATAATCCGGTATTCTGACCCTTGGATTTAGCCAAGTGACAAATTCTGCATCTTTGTATATGCCTGTTGACATCCCATTCAAGACGAGGCCAGTAAAAGTTCTCCTTCACCAGATCAACTGTTTTATCCCTTCCAAAATGTCCAGCTAATCCACCGTCATGTGCTTCCCAAATTATGGCTTCTCTTAAGGAACCCTGTGGAATACAGAGGGTTTTACCTCGAAATAAAAAACCATCATGCCTGTAAAACTGGTGGAAAGGTTGATTTACGGTTGCTTCCCACACTCCTTGGAAATCAGGATCATCCTGATACAACTCTTTGATAAGGTCAAATCCAACAACCTTGGTTTGCAATGTTGTAAGTAGCACATGGCGAAGACTAAGCACATCAGCTACAGAGTTCAGAGTTCCAGCCTTATGTTTGATAAGGAATGGATAAGATTGTAAGAGTTCACTCCAACGAGCATGTCTACGGCTGATCTTCTGCTGGGAATTCAAATACTTGAGAGCCTCATGATCCGAAAAAAGTATGAACTCTTTATTTAGGAGATAATGACTCCAATATTAAAGAGCTCGGACAATGGCATAAAATTCCTTGTCATAGGTAGAATATTTGAGCTTGGCATCATTGAGCTTCTCACTAAAAAAGGCAATGGGATGGCCCTCCTGGCTTAAGACAGCACCAATGCCGGTGTTAGAAGCATCACAGCTAACTTCAAATACTTGGTCAAAATTAGGAAGAGCTAGGACTGGAGCTTCGGTCAACTTCTTCTTAAGCTCCTCAAAGCTTTTCTGAGCTTTCTCTGTCTACTGAAACTTCTCTCCTTTGGTGTAGTCTGTAAGTGGTGCAGCAATTGAGCTAAAATTATGGATGAACCTCCTGTAGAAAGAAGCTAATCCGTGGAAGCTTCAAACCTCCTGGATAGATTTTGGAATTGGCCAGCTGTCAATGGCTGCAACTTTGCTTGGATCAACGTGAACACCTTCCGCGGTAATGATATAACCCAAGAACACAACTTCGTTGGTGAGGAAGGTGCACTTCTTGAGATTTGCATAAAGCTTCTGCTCACGCAAGGCTTGCAAAACTTGTCGCAAGTGATCTAAATGCTCCTCTTGATTCTTACTGTAAATAAGAATATCGTCAAAGTACACAACAATAAATTTACCAATAAAGGGTCTCAATACCTGATTCATCAGGCGCATAAATGTGCTAGGGGCATTTGTTAATTCAAAAGGCATCACATTCCACTCGTACAAGCCATCTCTGGTCTTGAAAGCGGTCTTCCACTCATCTCCTAGCCGAATTCTGATTTGATGGTACCCACTACGAAGGTCAATTTTGGAGAAAGTAGTGGCACCATGCAATTGGTCCAGCATATCATCAAGCCGAGGTATCAGAAATTGATACTTAATAGTGATCTTGTTGATGGCTCGACAATCAATGCACATTCTCCAACTTCCATCCTTCTTAGGTACTAGAAGAACAGGTACAGCACAAGGGCTGATACTTTCTCGAACTAATTCTTTCTTCAACAACTCTTCAACTTGCCGTTGGACTTCGGCATGTTCCTGGGGACTCATCCTATAAGCAGGCTTATTAGGAATGACTGCTCCTAGAACGAAGTCAATGGCATGCTGTATGTCTCGCATTGGAGGCAACCCTGGTGGTATCTTATCGGATATTACATCTAAAAATTCTGACAATAATAGAATGACTCCAGGTGGATTGGCCGTCTCATCGTTCACCTCAAGCACCAGAATAATGCTCATCATTTGGGCTTCGAATTTTGATACCTTGAATTCCTCCTTAGTCAACAAAGACACTAATGGCTTAGAAACACTAGATTCCCTTGAAGATTGGCTAATCTCATTAGGTGGTAGAGGCGCTAGTGTAAACTTGACACCATCTTTCGTAAAAGAATAAGTGTTCGCTCGCCCGTTATGCATAGCATATCGGTCATATTGCCATGGCCTCCCCAAGAGAAGGTGTCATGCATCCATGGGAACAACATCACATAAAACTTCATCACAATATCGATTCCCAATAGAAAAGGTCACAAGGCATTATTTAGACACTTTTACCTCATTCCCTTTGTTGAGCCAGTGAAGCTTGTAAGGTTGTGGATGATCTTGTATTGGCAACTTCAATTTCTCCACCATGTAGTTAGATACTACATTTTCACAGCTTCCACTGTCAATGATGACATTACAAACTTTTCCTTGGGCCGTGCAACGAGTGTGAAAAATGTTACGTCGTAACCAAGGTTCTTCTTTGACTACTGTTGTATGCAGACTTCGTCTAAGCACCAATGCTTCTCCTTGATCAGCAGGTGTGACCTCCTCGTCATATACGGGATCAGTGCCGTAGAACTCATCGTCCTCCTCATCTTCTTCAAGTGCTTCATACCCTGATCCTTCTCGAATGGTGACAACCCCTCGTGTAGGATAGTCCGCAGCAATGTGGCCAAATCCTTGGCATTTAAAGCATTTGATTGCTTTAGAACCAGATTCCTTGGCAGCATTGAATGGTGGTTTGTGCATAGCAGTAGGTTATGGCTTGCTTGAGGAGTTGGTCTGCTGAAATTCTGCTTTACGGCCTTCTGGATAACTCCTAGAGGATGAAGGTTGGAAAGTGGATCTCTTGGGCATCTGCTTCTCAACACGCACGGCTAGACGGATGACATCATCTAAGGTCCAATATTGTTGAAGCTGGACTGGACGACTGATATCTGTGTTTAAGCCTGCAAGGTACCGGGCTATTGTTTGCTCCTCCTTCTCCTGAATATCACACTTCATCATGAGTTGTTCAAACTCTCTAGTATATTCTTCTACAGATAAAGATCTCTGTTGAAGATTTTGCAACTGGATAAAATTATCCTGGCGGTAATGATCTGGTAAAAATTTCCTGGTGAGCTGGCATTTCATTTTCTCCCAGGTTTCAATCTTGCGCTTTCCCTCACTTTCTCGCTTCCGTCTGAGGTTTTCCCACCAAATAGAAGCATGTTTCTTGAGTTTGAGGGCGACAATTTTGACTTTCTGTGCATCTGGAATCTCCTTGTATTCAAATACTCGTTCAACAGTTTGCAGCCAATCTACGAACTCGTCTGGTGGAGCCTTCCCTCGAATTCAGGAATGTCAACCTTGATGTCATTAGGGCAGAATTGTTGTTGTCGTGGGTGGCGGCGGTTTTCAGTAGATGACGAACTACTGCTTCCCGAATCTCTCTCTAAGTTTACTCTGTTGTTGTTTAACAGAGTTTGCTGCAATTCCACAGTGGCTTCCAATTCTCGTATCCTACGTCTCAACTCTTCCATCTCAACCTCCTGCACATGTCTACGTCTTGGAGGCATTTTGGATAAGTGTCAAGGCTAGGGATAAAGATTGGGGTGCGATTGGAAACGTTGAAGGATATTGGGGTAAAGTGAGATTTTTTCAAAAGGCTAGGGGCAAAATGGGGATTTTGGACTGTCTAGGGGGTAAAATAGCGATTCTAGAAGAATGATGGGTCAAATTGAAATTTATGAAAAATATAGGGGTTAAACTAGAATTCAGGTAAAATCAAGGGGCAAAAGTGTAATTTTAGGAAAGTTTAGGGGTTAAAATGGAATTTCTGAAAAATATGGGGGTCAATATGAAATTTCATGAAAATAGGGGTAAATTTGGAATTACTGAAAGATTTGGGGCCAAAATGTAATTTATGAAAAGTTGACTGACTGGGCACAATGACGTGGCGACCGTGACACGTGGTAGAAAACTATTGGGCTGACCTGTCGTTGACCGGTCAGAAC